GCCGCCTGCGTCCCCGGCACGGCCGGCGGCTGAACCGGGGGCGGCCTGGGGGCTTGGGCCAAGGAGACGCGCCTGACTGTCTGGCCCTTCCCACCTGGGCTGCCTCCACTGCCTGCCTCGTGTTCCTGTCAAAAACATGGGTGAGCACCTACTGTGTGCGAGGCAGTGTGACAGGCGTCTGAGATACAGCTGTGACCCAAACACAAACATCCGGCCCTCGTGGAGCTGCTTGGAGACAGCATAAACAAAAAAGTGAAAGAACCTGTCAGACGGTGATAGGCGCTGGGGGAAATAAAGAAGCAGAGGAGAGGGGTGGAGGGCTGGGGGCAGGGCAGAGTGCAATAGAAACAGCCCGGCTCTCCTGCGCTTCCATTCTGGATTCTACAATCTAATTCTAGAACGGAATTCTAGACTATAGTGGAGGAAGGTGAACACATCAACAAATAAGGAGTGCTATGGTAGGTGGCGATAACTGCTAAGAAGAAAAACAAAGAAGGTTAGGGGAAAGGCGAGTGAGAAGGGAGCCGTCTGCAGAGCCTGGTGATTCATTCATTCATTCGTTGCATCATTCATTCATGTGAAGTGGGGCAGCTGGTTTTTGAGAGCATCCTGTGTGCCCTGTTGGGCACCAGGATCAGTGGTGGAAAAAAAAAAGTCTTCCTCCTACATCCCCTGTCCACTGGGGGAGAGAGAACCCATCAAACAATCCCAGAAACGAATATGAAACGGGAGGATTTACCTGGAGAGGAGGGCCAGGGCTTCCCTAAGGATGCTGCAGTCATCCCTACATTCATTCATTCATTCTTTCAAATACTTCTTTCCCCCATTTAAGTAGGTTCTGGAATATGCAGGGAGCCCCTTGCCCCGAAGAAGAAAAACTGAACAAGACACAGCACCCCAAGGCAAACCCCCCCAGCCCTTTTGTTCATTTCTAACACACAGGGATTTGTTTTCAAGGAGCTCACATGCTATTATTACACACGTCTGACCCGTCCGCTGCTCATCACCTCCACCATCATGGTCCTGGTACCATCGTCTCCTCTCTCTGCAACTTTGCCCTGCTCTTCTTTGGCCCGTTTTTGCCATCTCAAGTTCCTTCTCCCCGCAGCCACCAGAATGGTCATTACTTTCACAAACCAGATGTTTCTCACCTGCTTAAAGCCTTCCCAGCACATCCCCACACCACACCTCAGACTAAAACCTAAACCTCTGACCTGATGCCCCAGTGCAACCCTGCCCTCCTCTCTAGTTTGCAGCCCGGAGGTGGAAGACAGGCAACTACAACAGTGAATTTTTTAAAATGAGAATGTTTCAGGCTAAGGTGAGTGTTACAAAGAAATCAACGTCATCGGGGGTAGAGAGACTAGGCTGATAGGTTTATATAGGGTGGTCAGGGAGGGTCTCTTGGAGGAGGTGAAGAGAGACTTGAAAGATAGGAAACTAGCCATGGAGAGCAGGAGGGAAAGCCACTCTGGGCAAAGGGAGCAGCAAGACCACAAGAGGGGCTGGAACACAGGAAGCAGGAAGGACCATAGGGGGCGGGGGTGAGCAGGCTCCAAGGCGGTGAGGCAGAGATGAGCCACAGGAAGTTTTGAGCAGGGAGTAGTTCAGGTTAGACTCAAGAACACTCTGGAGAGCAGGCAGTTTGGGAGCAGGGATGGGAGTGGGGAGACCAGTGAGCAGCTGTCCAGGTAAGAGTCGATGGCCTCTGGCTCCAAGCGATGGTGGAGGACTGAGAAGTGGTCAGACAGAACATATTCAAAGGTAGAGCTGTCAAGGCCCTTCCAATGGTCTGGATTTGGGGTGTGAGAGACAAAGACCTATCAGACTACTTCCTGCATCAGACCAGCATCCCTGGGGTCCGCCATGGCTCTCCAGCTCACCCCTTTGCTAAGCTTAAGCTGCTGAAGGTGACTTCCTCCCAGTGGTCTGGGCATTTTCACAGGAGGCTACGGAAAATCACAAAACCTTTCTGAGAGGAGGGGAAATGTCCTGTAGCGGGGAGGTTTCCAGGCATTACTGCAGAATTCAGCCTTCCAAGTACAGCTAAAATGACACC